GCCACTCCCAACGTCGAAACTGAGGAGGAGCAGAAGGTTCGCGCCATGAAGGAAAAGAACAGCAGGAAGAGCTCCGCGTATCATGCTGCCCGCAAAGCCGCTCTAGATGCAGGGGCCGACCCCGAGGAAGCCAAGGCAAAAGGAAAAGAGGTTTCTTGGAGTGTCTAGACCCCTAACTCTAGAACCCTAAACCCTCCCAAGATTTTGAGCTCTTTCAGTGATTTATACTTTAACTCCTATATAGATGCTGCAGCAGGCATGTTTGTTTACATTATAATTCACCAAGGCCTACAAAAGCACAGAGTAGTTCGAGAAGACAATGAGCTGGCACAGTGTGCTTACTCGCTGTGTCCAGATGGTCTCTTGCAAAATGGGGTTTGCTGGGGTTGACATGCAATGCAAGTCAACGATTCCTGGCATGTAGGATTGATGTATGAAAGTTCCATCAGCCACGGGGAGTTCGGGCCTGCTCAGCCTAGGGGTACTGCGCAGATGTCTCACGCAATGGATCCCGAGTTGCGCAAGATAAATCGCGGCGCTATTCTTGGTTTCCCTGCATTGCATAGGTATATCATAAGCCCGCGTAGACCATGTTCAGAAACAATTTCCGTGCCAGGTCCTCAACTTCACAAACCGTCTACATGGTTGAGCTCACTACATCATCTCTGGTCAGGTGCCCCCCCCATCCGGAATGTAGTTCATAATGATCATGTATTGCATGGTTGGAGTACTCGCAGGTACACTGGCTGGGCATCTACCTGGGTATCATGACTCCATGAGGCCTGGTCGCTCTAATGTAATACTAGTGTTGCTTGCGTTGATGTGCTCCTGCTGAGTTCTCTGTACTGCGGGCTCGGAAACTAAAGACCCACCTCATCCTATATGTTATATAGGTTCAAGCCACTAATTGATTCCCAAACTCTCGAAACCCCTTTCACCCTGCCCCGATCCCCTGGTTCAGGCGCCTCTTCTGGCACTGGCAGATGGTGTGGTCGAGGCCTGCTCTTTCCGGGTTTGGGGTGCAGTGGGCAATGTGGGCGAGAAGCTGCTATTGCACTAGGCATAGATTGGATTACGATGGCACTTCGACGTGCTGCGAAACATAGCATTGATGGTGAGCCCTCCTGTGCGTAGCTGCACGTGCTGGCCATATTATGTTTGCTGTTGTTTTTTTGTCAAGTCCTGCTGTTGCAAAGAAATTTGATGTTGTTCGCGAGCTTGGGCTGGTTCAATTTAGTGAAGCACAGGCGTGATGCCATCTGATAAAACCCTTCCCATCTCTTCCCTCATGGTTCGACTGATGAATGTGGGGGCTCCAAAGGCTACTTGACCCAAGCCATGCAACAGTTGTACAACAAGCCCTCAATGGTCTGCCCTTTTACTGTAGCAGTTCTAAGGTGCTGATTGCCACGGTGTTGTTGCTGCAGTGGAGCTCGCAGCTCCCCACAAGTTCCAGATTTGATATGTTGGACATGTTCGCCGGAGCTGCGAACGGATCCAAGCTTTGGTTTCCTGACTGCCTTATAACATTTGTAAGATTCTAGGATGTATGAAGGCACAATTCTCTTATGCGATACTTCATATTTTCATGGGTTCCCTATGTCTGCCCAGGTCGTCAAAAGGCCTGCGAGTTGCTACAGTGGACCTGGACCGGTCGCCGCATATGAACATCAACGGTGATGCTGGCCTGTTGCGACTTGTCTGATTGCATATCGAAATTGTAAATGCATCTTTCTATTCATGAGCCTTGTCATGCGATAAGGCTCGTATTCTGGATCGTGATGTGCCAAAATAGATCAGCCTTCAACCTACTTGGCCCGGTTTGCTCCTCATGGGGCATCCCCAATCGGGGCCACTCCCGCAGAGATTTTATCAATTGGGCAGGTGCCCAAACCTTGCCATATGTTTTTGAAGCGAATGTGATGATCTCACGGATTCTCGGGCTTTTTTGGCAGGGTGCTGCATGCAACAATCTTTCTGAAGTCACCCCAACCTTCCGCGGTACTAAGGGTCGTCCTTGTACTTCTGGTCATGATGGCGCAGCATACGGTATGGGTTCTTGAACATCCAGTGTGTACGTTGCTGACGAGACACAACCGCTTTGAGTGGATCTGCAATTCTGTAGCATACGCAACTTGGCCGAAACTCCGGGGTAGCGTCTGTTGTTTGGGTGTTCCTGGAATTTCTTTCTCAAGCCTGAGACAAGTTACTTCTTTTATACTGTAAAGAATACTTCAACCAAAACACCATTTTGTTGAACAGTGTGTTAGGCATTGAGGCGTATTTGGGGGGTCCAATTAATGTGACCGCCTGCGGTCACCTTAATTCTGGGATTCTTGCAGCTGTGGCCGCTAGCTTTTGTGCGCGTAATGTAAGGTCTACAGACAGACCCTGTGGATGATGGCATGGGGGTCCAAAAGTCCGAAGAGAACCGTGCTCTTCTCCAACAGCCCCTTGATCAAGCGTCTTGATGCAGGCATCCTCAGTATATCTATGCGGAAAGAACTTACCCAAATCCGCACGGTTCGTTCCCTGGCTACAAATGTTTGACCGCCCTGATCGCATGCATTTTGGCAGTCCCACGTGCGCAGCAGTTCTCATCGTTTCATATACATAAGGAAAGTACATCAACAAAGACGGTGCCAAGAGGTTTTCGGGTTCAAAGCAGTTGACAGAATCTGGGCAGCCCGGCAACCCATGACTTCAGCCTTGTCGCTATTACTTCTACCTACCTATTACCCTCTATGCACAGTATGTTTCTTGCTTAATGATCAGGAATCATTATCGACCCCAAACCTTCCCCCAATGCGAGATTTAAGGATATACCCACTCCGCTTTTGTGCCCAACTTTACCGTGCCTTCTATGAAACCGAAGCGCAGCACAATCGGACGGACTTGCGGCACAAGAATTATGTTCCCAGCACCAAGTCTGATAGAGAACTCTTTGAAGAGATGCCTCTTGGCGACATTTGGTCAGATGCGAATCTGGCCCGAACATATTTCTATGCAAGGGACAACAAACGCCTGATCATCCCAGAGAGCTGGTTGCCTACTATCGAGAACTTCGATGAAGAACTGCGAGCACGGGCCCCCTGTCAAGATTTCAAATGACATTTATAGATGGTTGCAAAGTCGCATGTCTCCCATCTTCATGATATTAGCATGAATTTATAATGACAATGTGTGCGGAACGGTGAACCCAGGTGACTGGTGATGCCAAGCTGAGGGAAGAGTACAACAGCCTGCTAGAGCAAAGGGCATCCTAGTCCTGAGAAGCTGCTTTTCCATGTAGCTGAGACCATATAACTGCCCCTATAGCGTGATTGATCTAAGCTTAGAAAAGCTCCCTCGTCTTTTTTCAGAAAACACACTTTTTTTTAGGTTCGGAGTGATCTTCCCGAAAAACATACCCGCAACACACCCGCAACACAACCGCAACACATCCGCAACACACCCGCAACACCCCCACAACACACCCGCAACCTCGATTTCCATACCTTTGGGCTAGACGGAGGTCATGGAATTTCGGAAAAGTCGCTTTTTTGGCTCTGGATGCTCCCTATTTATGGCTAGCTAGCAAGAATCCCTTTCAGGCAGGTCTGCGAGAGTCAAAAGCAGCTGCTCATTCTGCGACAGGTGCATTTTTGTCTGATTGACTGCAAGCTGAGAATTCCTGCGCTCATTCAAATCAGGTTTACAGCCTATAGCTCAGGGTAGCTATTGCTTTCATGCGGTCGCTTGAAAGCTTGAACAACGCTGTGGGTGTTCTTCACGGCTGGGATTCTTCAATGTCGCTTGATGATCTAGATGAGGAGGCTCTGGATGCACGCATTCAGGTTGCTGGTCTGCTTTTCTTTGGGCGATTGACATCCCGAACAAGATACATTAGCGCTGATTAGTTTTTTTGGTGTTGTGCCTTGTCCAAGGCTGCTCAGGAGAGGCTGCAGGATATGCAGAAAATGCTAGCTAGCACCCCTTCGGGCTCTGTGCCTCCAATGGTCCCAGGACAGGAAATCTTACAAATGGGCAGGGTGGATGTCAGTCGCTTCTTTATATATAGGGTTTATGGGTTTAGGCTGAGCCTCCTAGTACTCATTGCCAGGAGCCCCGACAACGGCGACTAACAGTGGGTCGTTTGTGCCTGGAAGTGCAGCTCTTTCGCTATCCAACGAGTCCCAGCTCAAAGCCCTTGAAGAGACCCCGCCTCCTGCACGAACGGCCCCCTCCCCGGAACACCTTCCTCCTGCCGAGATTGAATCCGCCGCGCCCGTTGAGGAACCTTTGTCAGAGACAGTGCGCATGCTGGCGCACAGCTCTAAGGAGAACCTGCCCCCCACCCCTGCGTCCGCAGCAGAGCACTTGGCAACCCTGCCACCTGCCAACAAGAAAGGAAAAGGTGTAGGCCATAGAGTCCCGCAGCAGCCATTGCCACCAACACCCGCCAAGTCCCCGGGCGGCCTTGCTGTCCCACCTGGCCAGCCCACACCTAGCCCTGCTGTAACCAGAAGGCCCTCCCAAGCGTCTATGTCAGCAAAGCCGGAAGGATACTGGAAGTTCCTAAGCTATAGGTTAACCCAGAGAGGAGAGAGGACAGCGCTTCATACTCACGTAGGTAAGCCCATACATGAGTAACCCCCCCTTAAGAATTAATAGTCAAGGGAGGGTACGACCTGCGGAGAAGAAGAGTGAGAGTAAAACCCTAAACCCTAAACCCCTCAAAAATGAATCCATCTTGTTCTGCCATATCAGGGTCCGACGACATCTGGAGCATAATCACAAAGGCCAGGCCAAGTGTTCGGCGGAAGTCTTGAAGATGGGAGAGACAAGTGAGGGTAGAGCTCTGCTTGCATCTAGTTGGTCTTCCCATAAGTACTATTTGTTTGTTCGCCTTCAGGTCTGTTTGTGGATCAAATGCATTTCTTACTTATCTGAGGGGAGAAGCTTCGAAAGCTCATCGTGGAACATGGGTCGTGGGACAAGGTCGAGCTGACTGTGAAGTCATGGAGCGAGAAAAAGCACACCATGAAGGAGGGCGGAGGGGCCAAGACGAAGCAATGGCTGATGGACAACCGGTCATTCACAAAGTGCCTCGAACGTGCAAGCTCAGCTAGTATGATTTATTCGAGCGCATGTTCACTTCATATGTGAAGTGTTGTGCAAGAAAATTAAGGACTATGGCGGACCATGCCTTCGCTTGGGCGCGCGCGAGAGGCCTCGTGAGCAAGAACCCGATTCATGGCGAGGAAGAAGCGGATATTCCCTTGGACAAAGAGTGGACTCGAACTACGGAGAGTGGAAATCGCACCGAGTTTCAGGGGGTGGCAGCAATGGATGTGTCTTGCTAGCTTACATGTGTAGTGCGCAAACATGTCCCTCTCAATCCCGATTAGGAAGCCCCCTATAAATCCAAAAGCCCATGACAAAGGACCCGAACGCAAGTCTACTTGGACCAGAAATCCATGCCGCCGCTCCTGAAGCTAGTGCCCCTGCAAGCAGCGGCCAGAGTAATCCTGCAGGGGAGGCTCTGGTTCAGGCAGGTGCCAGCTTCAAGTGCCGAGGTGTAATTGGTTACGAGGGAAGCCCATTCTAATTTCGTTGGGTGGGAAAGGGAGCCTGATTGAGGTTGACGTTTCCTGCTCTCCAGCAGAATGTGGCCCCTTCAAGTATTCTGCCGCAGTTCCTGTCTGTGCTGGGACGCAAAATCGACAGCGCTGAAGCTATCAAGGCTTCAAATTTGATCAAACCTATCAGTCCCATAAATAGAGAAGCAATACCTTCAGATTGGATACAGGACAAGCTGAACTCTGTGAACAGCACGAAGTCGAAGCAGATTCTTGGATCAATAACTTACTTGGGCTGGGCCATCAAACCGCTTATTTTCATGATTGGTTGCCTCATGCTCAGGATTGCTGAGTCAATTGACAACAGCTTGGCTAACCTGAACAAGCAGTACGATCAGTTGGTTAAGCTGCAAGCCTCCCTTGCAACGTGCGGTGATCCTGCGAGCGTGCCACAGTGAGCTTGCTGAACTTATGCGCATCTGCGTGTGCGAGCTTTTTCCAATGTTGACTGAGCTGCAGCTAGGCTCGAAGACAATGTCACGGCCACCTTTTTTGCTGCTACCAAAGAGGACCTTGCCCTGAACAACTATGTGATGAGGTCTAAGACTCCTGGGCTCATTTTTGTGTGCGTGTGATTCTGGAAGCCTTTCTTGCCTCTATAGAATCCGAGGAGCGTGAAGATATCTCCGGGAAAGACCCTGGCCGTTCCTAAAGCAAAGCCTTTGCCTAAGGGCAAGGGAAAAGCAAAGAGCAAGGCCAAAGCAAAGCCAGCACGCAAGTCAGGAGGTGTCAAAAGGAAGGCGCCTTCCACAGAGTTTTAGTGCAATGCTAAAAGCAGTTGTGACCTGATTTTGAGCTGTGTGTATGATTGTGCCGCGCGGGAAAAGCCAGGCCATCTTTCAATGGCATAGGGCAAGCGCACAATCAATTCGTAAGTCTAGCAAATCCCAACTTTGCACCCGCAAAGACAAAAAAATGCTGCGTATTGCAACGTAGCTACGAGCCAGCACTGGTTTACACATAAGAATATAATGTAAGAATTGCCTGCGCAGGTGCTCAGGTGGAGTGGGCCTATGGCCCCTTGGCTTAACAATACGAGTGGTTTCAGCCAGTTCCCATCCCCCCCCCATCATGCCTCCTCTTCGATCAGGTGTGCCAGAGGAAGGAGAAGATTCCTCGTCAGATGATGATTTCGTGGATGAGCTGTTACGGGGAATCAGCGGTGGTGACACTTGGAGTTTAATGGGTACTATTCCATCTATACACGCCAACGGGACAAGATAAGTCTAGTGTGCCACATTAAATGTAAATTATCTGATCCAAGGCTGATTCATGTGCTCGAGTACTTCGCTTGGCCAAACGAGTGCACAGGAAATTTGCTCGTCGAGGACCCTACTTGACAGTTGCGGGAGAACCTACTTCCTAAACCCTAAACCCTATATAAACCCTAAACCCTAAACCTTAACCCTAAACCCAAAACCTAAATCCATCCTATGGAGACAGCTAGGTTATGTCGATCAACTGCAGTATTACCCTGACACAGGTCATCACGATCCAGTGCTGGCAAGATTGGCTCGATGCGCCAGGGGTAAGAGCAAAAACGGGAACCCTTGCCGCAACCTTCACCGAATGTTGACTAATGAGTGCTGGCGCCTACCAGTGCAGATATCTGAAGTTCTTCTTTGGATTCGCAATTCTCGCACGAGACGCGAGCAGGAAGTCTTGTGGCCAATTATCCATTTGTCCGATTGGGCCCGCTACGAGCTAGCTCAAGGAGGCCATTTTTTATTGGCGGGTTGCACATTGTCTGATGAAGCTTCCTGGCAATCTCAGCTTCAAGAATTCTGGAATAGATATCGTGGGGTGGACCCCAGCCATCCCATATTCAATTATCCAGAAAGGCTGGCACACATAGTGCCATTCATGACACATGGAGACGAGGGCCGAGGACGCCTCAAACAACCGCTACTGACGATTTCGTTTCAAGGCATTCTCTCCCATTACGGACCACACCGCCTTAATACCTCAGGGTGCTCAGACTCACTGCTTTATTAATTTTGCTGACCATGATTTTAATATGTAGATGCGTCGCAAAGTATGGGTTAGTTATTATACACAACCCCTGCAGGCACAGCTTTTGCAGCCGGCTGCTTTATACGGTATTTCCCTCCAAATGCTACGCAAAGAATGACAAGAGCGTCTACGGCCTTTTAGAATCCTTAGCTGCTGATTGCAAATCCCTTTTTGAAGAGGGGGTCCAGGCATAGTGTCCATAAGTTATCATTATGTAGATCCCAACTTCTACGTATACATGACATAGTGTTCTTTGGTAATTGGGTTCCCTCAAGGTGGAATACGAGGAGAAGACCTACAAGTTTTTCTTTGCTTACTTGGGTGGGAAGGGAGACTGGGTGTGGCTTCGAAAAGCTTATGCTTTGTACCCTGGTTGGAGCTCCAAGCGAATCTGTCATCTCTGCAATCAAAGGGTGGGGTATGGAAAAAACTAGGGTTTACCGCGTAATGACCCCAAGCTTATGAAATCCAAGTGAATACAACCCCCTGCACAGGACTGGTATAATGCTTCTGAAACTTCTGCGATTCGAACAACTTGGACATCTGAAGGACCTGTGCCACATCCATGGAAGGCCATCCAAAGTCCACTACGGAATATCCCAGGGGGTGAATGGTGGTGGCGGATCAAGATTGATCCGGCCCATACTTACGCAATACAAGGCTTCGGGTCAAGTATGGCAACCTCAGCCTGCGTCATACTATGCCGTATGGGGCTAGCGGAGGGCCGAGCTGTAAATGACAGGCTGCATCAGCTATACTTGGATTTCGTTGGGTGGTGCCGGGCCAATGGCAAAACAACAAGCTTGACCGGCCTGTCTTTGAAGAAGCTGAAGATGACATCGACATCAGGCCTAGATCTTCATATAGTTGGGGTACATAGACTCTACACGTAAAAATGTGTTCGTTTGTTGCCTATTATATATAGGGCAAAGGTTTGCGGTTGGTATTTGTAACTTGTTTAGTAGTCAACCTCATTATATAAAAAGCTTGAGCCCCTACTGACAGTATAAGGATGGCCATCTATCCGTCTGGTGTGGGGAAGGGCTTCGATACCATTCTGCTCATCATGTGGTTGCAAGATTTCCTGACCAGGGTTGATCCCACTACTGTTGAGACCTGGCAGAATCGTAGTTTTCCAAGCCTAAAATTGTTTGTCTATTTCGTCGGGGTAGCAGACTAGTCGGGGAGAATCCTACATACGTAAGGCAATGGAGCATCGAGACGTCTTGGATGTTCTTCAATGGACTGTCTTCAATACGAATGCTTTCTATCAGGGCTTGTACCACCACGGAGTCTGGATCCCATCAACTACAGCTGTTGGCTTGGTTGGCAATGGATTTGCAATGACTGAGACTTGTTGCATATACATGTGTCCTGTATACGTTACAAGCTTTTCGGGTTAGGATTTGGCGTTTAGGATTTTCTTGCAGGTTTAAGGGCTGAGGATTTCGGGTCTCGGGTTGCCGGCGCCTAGGAAGGATACACAGCTCTCGCAACAATAAGCAGTGGCCTTGGCTGGGCAGCCTTCAGAGTCAAACCGAAGCTTCACATGCAGCTCCATCTCCAGTTACTTGACTAAAACCATTAAGTATATAAGTTGCCTTGTACCACTATCGAATCTTCCAGATATGAATCCTGTGCCCCATAACAAGTAACCTCCAGCCCAGGCGAGATATGCAGTTGCAATTGTGCAACCAGTACGTGCTGAACCCTCTCAGTTTCTTGGCTTGACTCGTACAGTTACATGGGTGAGATTATGGAAAGGAACGACCAATTTATATTTCGACGGAAATTCTCAACTAAGATTTCTCATGCTTCTCTGACGAGGATTACATCGGTAGAACAGCACGCATTTCACGGCGACAAGCGACAGCTACGGTTGCCGTGAGATGCATCAAAGTATGCCTGCTGTTGTACAAGCAGGTTTGGTCCAAGGAGATTCCTCGATGAGCTTGGGGAAGTGTGTACCAATCGCAAGAACCTATAGAATTATGCGTTCCTCTGTCCAAGCTCCTAGAGAAACTTGGGTCCCTGCTCATTTCATGGATGGCGTCCCGACGCAGTAGAGCTCGAAGACGAAAGGCAGAGTGGTTAGGGGAATTTTATGAAGTATTATGGGATGTTATGGGATGTAGTTACTTGTCCGTCCTACCCAGCTTTTATTGCAGAGTGAGGATTTCATGAAAAGCCTACTAGGAGA